GTTTGACAATAGAGGTCTTTGACTATGGTGCTATTATATAATATACTGTTAGATTATTAACCCAGACCAAAGTTTTGATTTGAAACAAAATGAATTTTAGAAGTTAACCCTTTCCAGCCGGATGTTGCCTTTTGGCAACATTTTGCCAATATCAACCTGGGATTTATCTTAAAGTTATGAGATATAGTTCCTTAAGTGATTTGATAATTAACTGCACGCATTTTAGCGCAAATCTATGCCTTCGCAAGAAAGAAGAAAGCTATTATTGACGAGAGAGATGAATTCCTCCGCCAAGACCCAAAACGGCCTCCGAGTCGAAATGATCTGTTTAGCATTTGTCCAGCATTCGATGCAAGAAGTGACTAGTGGTTAATTTTCCTCTCCAGATCCACTATCTATTAGACCAATAAGATGAATTATTCAGCATACTCGAAGAACAGAATACCAACATGTTGCCTTTTGGCAACATCCGGCCGTAAGGGTACAAAAAGCTGGAAAAGGTCAATTAGTTTTCCTCGATGGAAACCCAATAATTTGGTGTTAGTTTTAGTTCAGGCTGTCAAAGGAAAGCATATTTTGTTCATCTGCCCATCTCTTACAGTTTTAAGGTGAGAAATATTCCAATAATACTCAAAAACTGATCAAAATAACGTAAATTTCACCAATTTTTCCTAGAGAAGCTCACAAATTCAGTGAGATTCTAACAAGATTCGTAATGTTTTATAATAGTCTGAATAGCAATACTATAATGTACTGTAAATCTTGTTAGAATCTCACTGAATTTGTGAGCTTCTCTAGAGAAAACTGATGAAATTTACGTTATTTTGATCAATTTTTGAGTATTATTGGAATATTTCTCACCTTAAAACTGTAAGAGATGGGCAGATGAACTAAGTATGCTTTCCTTTGACAGTCTGGACTAAAACTAACACCAAATTATTGGACTTCCATCGAGGAAAAATAATTGACTTTTTCCAGCTTTTTGTACCCTTAAGGCCGGATGTTGCCAAAAGGCAACATGTTGGCATACGGCTCAATATCAGTTCTTTAAACTCCAAGATGGAATTCGGTAACCCCCACACCTAAAAGACAAAGAATATATAGAAGTTGAAATTTTTGCTTGCTGTCTTCGAGTAGCCGGCCGGAAAGGGTTAACTGAAGTATCAATTGTGTAACATTGTTGTTTTGCAATAATATTCTATATTAACAACAAGAATAGCGATGGATGTCATTAGAGTGTGAATCTCGGCTTATATGTGGATTTTTCTTCATCCACATCCGTTAGTATCATGAAAATGATAATAATAAATCATGATTTTCATAATACAGATCGTTCAGAATTAATTGATAAATTTATCATCAAACATTATCTAACGTGCTTAATGAACAATATGATTCTATTGAAAAACCTTCATTTATTTACTTGTTATCATTAATGTATGTGGATAAGCATACAAAATAACAAGGAGAGCCTTTTAACAATCATTTGACATTATCATAACCATTTATTCACTATCTTTCTTTTCGTCTCTTCTGTTTTGTTGATGTCGTACGTTTTTCTTTCTTTTGCTACATCTCGCTAATTCATTTATATAAATATGTATATGTATATGTGTGCGGTCGTGTGTGAATATATGTATATACAATATTATTCTAATAAAACAAAAGAAAAGGTCGTTCGTTACGAGCTAACCATTTGAAATAAAATTTGATAAAACATACTGGACTCAGTCATTTACTGTCTTCTGGTTCGACACTCTAGTAGACAGAATAAATAAAAAAAAGAGCATCTGTCGATAATTGACGAATCGATTTAAAAGCATCGAAAATAATTCTGTTGTGTATTATTCAAAACAGAAGTATTTTCTTATTGATTCGAACACGTGTGGTTGCTATCGTTCACAATAAGCTCACGACACGTACTGTGTGGATCACTATAATGCAGAATCGATATGACTCTTTACCGAGATAGTATTTGAATATGTTTCGCATGCTTGCGATCGTATACGTAAGCAACTATTATTTTTTTTTTTTATAAGAATGAATAAAATACTGTGTGTTTTGGACACTATTATTTACCTTCACTTTTTCTTTTTTTTTTTGTTGTTTTCATGTTTTCTTCGTGAATAATCGAAATTTAGTCTATTGACTATTTTTACTGATGCAAAACACGATTTTATGTTAGTAATGAAGTATATAACGAGAAATCTGAGCATCCTCTCCTACCATCCGTCAGATAAATAATATACAGAGCACATGATATTTTTTTCGGGCCAAGATATTATGAATTTCTAAATCTGACACTGCTGGATTTATAAGTGAAGTTTCGGATTTTATATCAATTGGAAATGTCTAAACGACAAAGTCCATTTTTCTCTTTCTTTGTGCGACACTTCAGTCCTAATTCCATCGCCGTCACAGACAATCGAAGATCATGCTTCCTAGGCTTTATGACGACTCACTATGAAAATAAGAACTATCTTCATATTCGTATAAAATAGTTCCCATGTTTTTTACACTTTAATCTCGGTAGGAATTGCGCTATAGTTTTTTTTTCCTTATTTTAAGAAAAAAGAGACACAACATGGCAACAGCATTAAATTTCGATATAAATAAAGATGGAAAAGTGACATTAGAAGAATTCAAGACTTATTTGAAAAAATACCACTTGGGGTTCAATAATGATGAAATTTTGACTATGTTCAAAAGTTGCGATAAAGATAAGAGTGGTTATTTGTCGTTGGACGAAGTCAGTTGGTTATTTTCTCTGGCAAAGTCAGAATTGAATCAGATGACCGTTTGTGTACGTGTTATTATTCCTTCAACAGAAGCCGTAAACATGATCGTCGATTCTACTGAATTTCAAGCACGCCTTGGTAAGAAGAAAAATGAAAAAGATAAATTCAAGGAGTCTCTATTATTTTGCTTAAACAAATTTTAAAATTTTATCGACAATAGTTTAAAAATATTGTCGACATATTTACCAGAGTTCTGATTGCTTCACTTCATATTTGATTGTTCATTGATCTAAATTGAGTCGAGCTTCCAATAATTAATTACATTGCTGTATTTTATCTTCATCATAGTGACAGTTACATAAGCAATATTCTCTTCTCTTTTAGATGCGTTTCGAACCTTGTTTTGTAAAATGTTTGGCGGTTGCACAGCATTACCTGCTCAACAAGGTTCCTATTTAGCCAATGATGGTCAAATAGTAAACGAGACTGTCGCATCTGTTGAAACGTTTTGCACCAAGAAGAAATGGATTGATAATGAAGAATTTGTAAGGAATTTTATCAAAGATAAGTGCAAGGATTGGGGACAAGAATGCATAGCATTGGGAATAAATGGCGTATTGGAATATATTACTTCTGATACTGAAAAGCAGCCCGATGTCGATGGAGACGCAGAAACTCTTTTGCGTCAGTTGGCAACCAGAATTCAAATGGTACATGAAGTCGAACAACGGCACAGAACACAGGCACATGAAGAAAGACTATAAACTTTGTTCTTCTCGTTTTTCATACGAAATACAAGTTTCTACTTAGATTGAGTTTTTGATTCGACATCAATTTCTGACAATAAAGACGTACAACTATCTAGAGATCAAATTATTTTCTGAAAGTCCTAAATTTTTCTTCGACTTTTTGAAGGTTGGCAGGTATACAAACAATCATAAGAAATGGCTGTGAGGCTGTGGGTTGTTGAGAATAGGCTTATATCACCTTTTTCTGTGAAAACTGACGATAAACTGTACTTATCTAACGATTTTGTTCAATTATTTTTAGTAACTATAATTTACAAGAACAATCAAAGGCAAATGTATCAATAATACCGAAAGTTTACCAGCTACCGTAAGAAAGGTATATTAGACTTCTTATTTCGATCGATGCATAATTTCTGTAGTTAAAATATATTTGATATTGAATGATGAAATAGAGGTTTAAATAATTTTTTCATGGTTTGAATGTTTTATGAGTCTTTCATTTTATTGAGTTCTTTCATTACATGTATATTCAGATCGGTCAAGAATTAGAAGTATTCTTGAAGTATCTGAGAAAATTGCTCATCGATTTAGTTGCTTTCAATTTCGTATAAGCCATTAATATATCGTTGTCGCTTCATTTTTCAATGTCTTTTTTTAGATATACACAAAAAATTTCCATGTATGCCTTTTCATTAATTATGATAATTGATATTAAAAGGCTTAAATTGAACTATTTTTTTTTTATTTAAGTTTGACTCAACAGCTGATCCAAACTGGAGTATAAATTTATGAAATTACATTCTGTATTTTGTTATAAAATAAATTATGTATATGTAACTTACGGGCTGAGAATAGGTTGAGGATAGTAATAGAGAAACGCCGGTTGACGATGGTTAATCATTATGTACTGAACAGTTGACCGGAGTTAACTGACGACTTTTTGCCGATTCGAACAATATGCGGGTAAATTTATAAGTGTAAATGAAACGAAGACCTGTAGCCTTACCGACATGTCGCACCTTCTTCCAGTCATTCTTGAAAGATTACCAAAATTTACGAAATACGTTCACGGCTAAGGCATGATTGTTATCTGACTCGTGCGAAAAAAAGAGCTTGGCTGGTTTTGTAAAAGTTCTTGAGAATCATAAAATAAGTAATCTGATATGTGTACTTCGGCAAAAGGATTGCAAAGAGCAGGCGAAAGCTTACTGATATTATTCTGCGATAATGAATGACAAATATCCGATTTGTATAGCAATGAACAATACAAAAATGGGTTTAATCGTATATGCGTTTGTGAATCGTTATTCACAGACATTGACTGTTTCTTTGTTTTCTTGTGAATACCTTTTTTTTGTTGAGCGAGTCACTTTATTCACATGTTTTTTAATGTCAGACCTTTTTTTACAACGTAAAAAGAGTGTTAAGAAATCAAGAAGGGAAAGAAACTCATCGGACGTGAATGTACGTTCGTATTATAGGTGAATTAGTATTCTCTATCTTATCTTAGTTTTTAAAACGGATAATGAGATGCCTCGAGACATTCGCAAAAATCAGTGATGATTTTTTCAGGTACAAGCACAGCTAACGTTTCTCTGTTGAAAATTTGTCTCAAACAAGTGATCATCAGAAGGAGACGTTGAATTTGTCCAATCAGTGGTTTGCTTCGTTCTTCTTTTTGATCATAAAATAATTTATTCGATATAGGATCTTGGAGAACATCTTCTAATAGTGAATAGACTTCCAAACAGGAAATACTATTGATAATAGCATAATGAATCAAGAATGTGGCAGCGGTATTTCGTTTTCCCATCGAGACAGATTTCAAATAAGGAAAAATACTTTCTATGGCATTTCTATTTTCAATTTTTTCTAATGGTGTAAAAATTTCGTCATAGTTTTGATAGAGATCAAAAAATTCTGTAAAGATCATATGAATCCAATCTACTGTGGCAACTTCAAATGCCGAATACAGTTCAATACACCGATGTCTCTGTTGTTGAGTTCCTTTTTTCCATGCACGAGAAAGTGACGCTTTGAATGCTTCCTCACCGTAAACACTTGTTCGTACTGCTTCACAAAATGATTCGGCTCCTATTTCAATTAGTTCGCAAGCAACATATAAAAAGTCAGCATCACGATTTATACGATTCATTGTTTTTGAGAAACTCAATAAAGAATTATAACAATCATCTATAAAACGATCAACAAGATCATTCCAGTGATTTCTGAGCAAGTCAATAGTCTGAATACACCTGTCCCTATGATCTTCTCTTTCGATCGTACATTTTCTTTTTGTTTTTATTACAGTATAGAGAAAATCTGCATTGATACTTAATCGATGTTCCATATCAGTGATACTTTCATGAGGTTTTTTATCTTGCCATAGCATCCAAATATAACAGGCACGTGCATGTTGGGATACTGTTAAAGAACTCGATAATTTTTCTATAGACTTAAAAAATGATTCATCTACAGAACGATATTCCACGGGAATATCGACCAAAGCCCATAGACATAGACTAAGAACATTATCTGAAAGCTGTATTTCTTCTGGTTTCCTGGTCGAATCACTGTCAAGTCTGACGTTCTGCTGAGAAAAACGTATTGTATCTTCTAAAAATATCCGACCTTGCTCTTGAAATGTTAATGCAAAACATGCTGCTCGCTGAGTAAACGGTAACAAACGTTGCTCGTACACAATTTTTTTTAATACTTCAACAAAATGCTCATTTTGAAGTTCAGAATCGATTTCTGTTTCAACTTCAGCTAAATGAACTATTATAGTTGCAAGATACTCATCATTCACTATAGAATCACTCTTCAATTGTGTTTGAATATGTGTCACCATATGATTGTGTACCTCTTGTGTATAACTACCTATTAAACAAAAGAAAGAAAATTGCTCATCATCATCTGCGAGTAGTCTTAATCTATTAGCTTCTAATTCAAGCAACAGATTGATATCATCTATGAATTTTATATGTATTTTTGGAAATGATAGAGAATGTAGCCAAACATTCCGTAGTACCCGCCACATCCATGAACTCCATTTTTCGCACGTGACATAGGCATTATTGTCATACCAACTTTGAAAAGCTGTTCGTGCTTGATAACGAATATCATCAACAGGATGAAAAAATGCTTTTTCCAATATTTTAAATATTTTCTCCATCACAGACAAAGACAAATTTTCCTGAACATTTCTCAAAAGTAAACCAACAGCAAGTAAAGCAAATTGACAATGACATTCATTGTCATTGTCGTCATAGTATGAGAGCCAATTTTCAATCATTGGTCGATCTTTCACTTCAATATCTTTATACACAATAAGACCATCGAACGGAATAACTTGTTCAATCTTTCGAGTTTGTACTGAATTCAAATACATATTGATTGATACAATTCGATGATGAGGAAATTTTTCTGTCGGCCAATTCCAATTCCATTGCTCAAACAGTTTGCCAGTTAAGTTCAGCATTTTAGGTGTTGGAATACAATCATTGAAATGTGGAACAACAGTCATGAATATGTTTGTGTCGATTGTTAGTTCAGTAAGATACAATTGACATAGGAGAACATTATCGAAACTAGTGAGAAAAGGTTCTTCTATTTGGAGCAAGGAGAAATATAAACTAGGCGAATTAAATTCAAGAATATCGGATAAATTTGATCGAGTTTTAAACGAAAAAGGAAGCTGAATCTCAAGTTCAACTATTGTTCTCAATGCTTGAAACACACTCTCCTGATCCTTAGCGTCTTCGTCGTCACTAGGTGGTTGATGCAAATGTGCATACACATTCTCCAACAATTCATTTAATAATGGATGCATCTTTTCTCCTTCTTCAATACATGAAATGAGTACAATCGACTTGATTATCAACGGTAAACTACGCGATAGTTGTCCTAGTTCAACATCCATAAGCATCTGTTGTAATACAGTATACATAGTTTTATCAGACCATCTGCGGACTATTTGACGCATATGACGAAAGCATAGTATACGTAAAATGTGATTTTGAATACATTGTACTGCTTGCATGACTTTCTCGAATACATCTCTCTTTTCACTGATAAAGTCACACATACGAATAATTGACAGTGCTGCCGAAAATAGTTGCAAATCAATCTGGAGTATTCGTTGATCTACCGAAGAGGAAATAGCTTTCGATATTCGTTCATATTCTTTCTCTATGACAGTCCTTACAACAACAAGATCCACATTGGTAGGAATTGATAGTTCATTATCTTCTGAATTATATTCAAATCTAGTCGCTTTTACTGTTTGTTTGATTGCTGTGACATAACTTTCGAATTGGTTCTTTTGAACAGTATCCTCTATTATACTAAGAAATGAAAAAAGTTCGAATGTACGCATATTCTGCTCGTCGACGAATAGAAGTACTTCGGCCAAAAGTACTACTTTAAAAATGTCATTCCATTCGAAGTTCTGTGAATTTATTCGATCTTTTAGAATGAATCGTTCAAAAATAGATTGAAGTGAAATCGGTACGAATGAAACTAAGAAAAGTGGATGCTCACACAAAATTTGATATGGATGTTCTCCAAATTTCCATTGATTTCTAGCCGTAACTTCATCACTTGACGAAAACACTCGTAGTAGTCGCAAGTATTTCAATGAATACATCATAAACTCTTCGTTTTTTTTATCTACACTATTGAAAGGTACAACTAACTGAATATCTTTCCAAGATGAAGTGTTAGGAAATGTCAAATGTTTACATGCCTCGATCATCGCAATAGTTAACGCGTTTTTGATTTTCGCGTTTATGTCATATTTCATAGATATTTCATTCAGCAATGTAGTTACATCACTGAATAACGAAGAACGACTCTGAAAACAAGATTTTTTTATAGCATAGAATTGTCGTAAATGATATAGAACTAGTTTCAATCGATAGAATACAAGAGGCAATACCTTATGATGACAGAAATGTTCAAAAATATTTATCGAAGTGACACCTCGAAGAATGATCAAGGCAAGAAATGCATCTTGTGTACGTCTTGATATATCATCTATTGACACTTCAAAAATGATCGTCTCGCATTCATCAATTAAATGACAGATATTTTGATGAACATCATGCATATCTTTCTTGAAACATTCGATCAAGAAAGATGCTAATGGAGTTAATCGATGCATTCGTATTGGATCAAATTTAATAGAATCTTCATCTTTTATCATACCACCACAAAGAACTACAATAACCGATAGAATCAAAGGATGAATTCGATCAATAGAAATCCTATTGCTTATTAAAAACGATTGTAGAATATTGGAGGCATTGTGATCCAGAACAGATTCTCCACAACGAAAAATCCAATCAACGATTGTCTGGACATTCACATTTTTTTCATCCCAGCTTGTAATAAAACTTATTGCTGAATTGGATAGCCATGACGGCAACATCCATGTGCTCTTACCATTAATCGGTTCCATGCAATAGCGAAGAAATTCACAAATACATTCGACACGAATTGAATCATCATGCAAGAGATTTTCGAATAAACTGCTAGCAACTTCTGTTGATAGACTATTCAATGCTCGTCGAAGATATTCTTTTGAAACATCATCTTGACTCGAAGACAACAATATGCATCTGAAAATACGTACTATCGTACTAGAAGAACGAAAAGAGTGTAAACTTGTAAGTGCATCAGTCAATAGAAGACATCCAATAGGTAGATTACCAACAGTTCTATTCAACAATTCAAAACAGAATACATCCATATTATCTGGTTGCAATCGAAGATCTAACCAACCGATAGCAAGTGACAATGGTTTATGATATTCAGTCTTCCATATGCAATTAAAGAGACGATCAACTATCATTTTAGTCGAAAGAATACGTTCACAAATCAAAGGGTTAACAATAGTTAAAGCAACAAAATATTCTTCAAGTGTTCGATGAAGAAATCCGTAAGCGTCTAATCCTCGTGCTGTTGCAAAACCTACAACATTGGACGATAAAATACTAACAAAATCTCTGACTTCTCTATTCAATTCATCATTTGACATCCAAACGTCATGTTTCTGTTGTTGAAATGCTCGAAGAGATATGCAAACTAATCGAATAAGATCGAATGTATCGATCCAACCCGATGGACAATTTTCATATAAATGTACAGCTAAATCTCGAAGAATCCATTCAATAGATGCTGCATTCAACTTTGTCTTATTTGATGAAATCCAATTGTCTATCATAGCTTTTTTAGTTAAGTCATAAACAGCAATTTGAGATGTGAGATCAATCTGGTTAATATCACTGCGTATAAGAGAAGATAGAGCTAAGGACAATAAAATCGGATGGGATAATAAATAGGATCGTGTTGTTAAATCGAGAGCTTTTTTCCATAGTTTTTCTCTGATTTCTTTTAGTCTTTCTCGATTCAACATGAAACGATTTTCATTACTGATGTAATTAGTAAACGCATTATTCATATTCATCAGCCAATTACAGATAAATGATTCAACTTCTTTCTTATTCATTGGTAATAAATAAAAGAGTGCAATTAAATTACTCTGTATTGGTACGAGACTATATCCTATAATGCGTGATGTAATAATTACTTGATTTCTTTCGAGCAAAAACTCTGGATAATCATCTAAACATCCGCCCCATTTTTCTACAATATCTCTATCGTCCTTGATTGAAATTAATGATGAAGTTTTAACATATTTTTCTAGAAATATTTCTATTAAAGTAACAACTTTTTTTCGTTGTTCATAATTCGAAACTTCATCTAAACCATCGAAAAGAATGAGTGCATGACCATGATAAATGAATTCATGAAGTACTTTTGAATCATTTGTTTCTGAATAACAATTACCGTACCAAGTATGTTGACCAATATAGTCAAATAATGAACAATCAATATGAGAATCTAACCAAGTAACGAATTCACCTATTCTAATCAATATGGGTACTCGTGCAATTGATAAAATCGGACAATTAATAAATGGTATTTGTGTTGCTAATATTTCCCATTCATTTTGTCCTTCTAGATAAAAATTTTCTGTTTCACCTTGTCGAAGAAAACGAGCATATTCAAGTGTGAGCCAACGTAATAATGTTGTTTTACCACTGCCAGGATCACCTAGGATCACCGACCAACGATAATTATGTAGAATAGATAAGATATTTTTGAGTAAAAGACCACGTTCAATAGAATGACCATCAATAGATGGAAGAAAAAAAGAAACTTCTCTATTCTTATTATTCGACTTATGGACAGTGTCACAGTTAACAAGTGTCGCACATGCAAAACGGAGAGGCATCTCAATATCTCGTATAAATGTATCCAAATTAAGTGCAGAAAATGAACACTCATCTGCACTTATCTGTCTTAAAAGCTGACGCACATCTTCTAGTCCGATACTTAATGGAATAGAAAGAGTAGAATGAAAAGAAATACACTTGTCAAGATACTCGCTTAGAAATAGACAATGTTCATCACATAACTCACTTAAAGTCTTTTGTCGGCCATCAATTCGTACAAAATATTCTTTCTTGCGTAGTTCGAGTTTATTTTCAAAACTTTTCACTTGTAGAAATGTTGAACGTATATGTGAATTAGATGTTGGCATACGACCATGCAAAATGTATTGACATTCATCAGTATATTGTTGCCAAAGATCTTCAAGTAAAAATCTTCGCAAACGAATATTTTCTTCTTTTTCTTCGTCTGCTTTTAGATTATCATTTTCATTATCTTCATCACTTTCGAGAAAATATTCAGAAATCTTTTCAGCTCTAGTTAATGTTCTTTGTAAGCGACGTAGAAAAACTTTTTTCCATAAATTATTAATTTTTTTAATCTTTTTTCTATGCTTCATTAAACGTTTCACCGTGCCGATTACATCTTGAAGCATTTCATTGTTTACTTGTTGATGTTTTTGGCAATGATAATTGACATATATTGCGGTTTTTTCTTCGAATACTTTTAAACGCCGAAGTATATTGTACGTCATTCTTATGATTTATATCAGATGAATCTATAAATAATATCAGAGTTGTTGTTTTTTCTTCTAATTACATTAAATTGAATCTTAAAAAAAAGAGACTTTCATAAAGTTCAGAAGTCTAGAGTATACTGAATAAAATGTACACGTGGGTAACTGATGCTTGAGCAATTTTCTACAGTGTTGATCAATCAAATGTTCTAACAATAGACTATGATGGAAGAAAGATAAAAAAAAGGAAGCTCAATGCATTCATAGTCATGCAGTGCTCACTACCTTTTTATTGATGGTCACCATGTTGCGAACTAGACATCTGTCGAAGACCTGAATATGTCACATCGTTTCTCTTCAAGAAAAGTCTAGAGTCAATATTTATTATCATGATCGTATTCTTAATATATATAATATCTGCTCAGCTCTATTACTCATGTATTTCTGCTTGCCGATCAAGAACACGCACAGTTTGCATTTATATATTCTTTTTGTTGAATGATAACATCAAATGGAGACCCGCTTGTTTAGCAACAGAACACGTGAAATCGACCTTCTTCACATTCTTCATGATTTACAATGTTTTTTTTGTTCCTTCATGCACAAGCACACGTACATATTTGTACTCACTTCTACTTGTGTTGTTGTTGTCGTAAAGAAAAAAAACTTAAAAAACACGTGTATTGACAGAAAGCAACGGAAACCTCTCCTGCTAGCGATGCCAACTTTTCTCAAAGACTGCATCAGATGCTTTTGCATACATTGACAATACGTGCAATGAAGATGCAAAAGAGAATACTATGAAGAGATGTGACACATATGGAAAAATCGCCAATACTCACATCCGTACTCTTTAAAGAAACACTTTTTATTGTTTATTAATTAAATATCTTTAAATATGTCATATCCATATGCTTTTTCTTCCAGATATTGAAGAACAATTAAGAGAACCTCTTTGAAAACATTGAAGATGACTCTGGTGTAGGAGGCACTTGATAAAAATCATTTTGTTTTATATGTTTTTGGGCAATAGAACCATCAATGTCGAAAACTACCAACCTGAAAATTTTAGCTTCTAATATACTTCCTTCGTGAAGTTAACCAATACCGATATTTAGTATCATCATGGCTTTATGTGAAAAAAAAACAGCAAAGATGACTCTATAAAAGTTGTGTCTATCTGAGATTCAACAGATCATTCAAACCTCATATGGATATATATGAAAGGGTAGATCGTCAACAACTGAAAAAAATAGAAGTATTTAAAATATGGTATATAATCTATTTATTGAGGTTAAACAGCCTAGCACGAGTGGACATTGACACAATTTATAAGTTTATGATGGTCAAGTTTTTACAGTATATCTCCTGCAATTTTTTGAAATCAGGAGACCCCCAAGTTGAACTTTTGCTATGTTGTGTAATTGTTGATTCTATATAAAATGAAAATAAAAGGGCATGCTTGATTTGAAAATGTCTAACACTGCCTGTAACTAAATGAATTCTCTTCCACCTATCTCTTTTTACATGTGTACGGAGATCGAGTTTTTGTAGGAAACTATTGGTGCCATCCTATCCAGGATGAAGTCCTAATTTCTTCGATATGAAAATTTTCATCAATAAATGACATTTAATAATATCAAGAACTGTTTTCCATCAGAGAATTTACTTAGTTTTAGACACTTTTCGAACTAAACATATCTTTTTTTTCTCCGATATTTTGTTTTCATTTTGTACAGAATCAAAAGTTACACAACAAAGCAAATATTGAACTTTAGCTCTCCTAATTTAAAAAAATGGTAGCAGATATACTACAAAAAATTGACTGCCATAAACTCATCAATTATGTCAGTTTCTACTCTTGCTAGGCTATATAACCTCAATAGATAAATTTGAATGATTGACTAACTTTTCCAAGGAAGAGTATTAAACACTAAAATATTCAGGTTGATAGTTTCAGACATGGATGGTTCGAATGTACCGAAAAATTAAAAAAATGTGATTTTTATCAAGTAGCTCTCATACTCGATAGTTTCATGGATTCTCTGTCAAGCAAACAAGATGATAGAAATTAGTGATTAAAGTAGAATTAGATATGCACCGTTGTGAGAAACCCTGAAAAATCGTACAATACAACTGAGATGGATAGTTCAAAACTCGAACATTTGTTACATAAAGTGGATTACATGCGTAAATGTTTTTCTTTATTCAAAGTGTATTTATTTTAAATCATTGAAATAGTTCGTATTGGTAACAGTGTATTCTTTTGTTTATTTTGTGGATGTTTATGCATCTATTTTTGTACATAAAAGTCTATCTTCTTTCCTTTTGTCTTAATTTACCTCATCCATGAAGCCTATAAAGATTGTTTGCTTTACTCTATTGGATGTTATTTTAGCTGAATGATTTACTTATTCACTAAATAATAAATCCGAATGTTATTCTAATGTAAGTCTTATCGAGCAACAATCTTTCTTAATTATTGATGCTCAATGGCAAAATGTTAGTCTTTGATGTTTAATTAATTTATTAAAACAATACCAAATATTATTATCAAATAATTCAAAACAAAAATTAGGTGTAAATATACAAAGTATTACAATGAATAAATATATTCTGTATTCATATATAAAATTATTAATACAACAAATACAAAAAAAAAATAAATAGTTTAACATCATTAACATAGCGTCAAATTAAATTTCAATTATTCGATAGACAACAATGATAATGAAAGATTAAAAGAAAATTCATTGAATAAACATGAATTCAATCATCAAGAAAAAATTCTATTAAATTATTTATCGAATAATCCAATTGAATCATCTGAACAATTACTTAATATTAATATATTTGAATTAATAATACAAAAAAAGAAAACCTTCACAATCATAGTTTAGTTTAGTTTAGTTCATCAATATCCAATATATTTTCATTCGATGATAAACACAATTCAACATATATGACCTATATTCATTCGTCTTATCATGATTTTAATCGAGGTCCTTGTCTAAATGTAGTTCATACGACTTTTCAATATATTTTATCATATTCATCACTCAAACTCATCGGCCCTGATATATTTACGTTTGAATTACCTTATCTTTTGTCATCAGTTGAGTATAATCAAATTTATGTCTATTGAATGAAGTCAAATAAAACATTATTAATACATATACTTGATACAAATACTAATCTAATCACACTATTTCAAGTCTTTTTTGGAAATTCATTCATGAACCATTAACAGCAAAATTCTTTGATAGAAATCAACGAAAAAGATTATATATTATTTAAATTTTTTTTTAATACAAAATGTTATTAATTCTTCAAGGTGAAAATATGCAAGTTAAAGAAGAACCATTAGATAATTTTTTCACCATCTTCAACATTTTTTTATTCTAATTGTTATAATAATATGGTTAGATTTCAAAAACATATACGAAATTACCACCATCACTTTCAAACATAATTCGTACTTTTAAATATATATATGTGAAACCTTACTAAGAATCTGTGGTGATGGAAGTATTCTTTGATTAACTAATATTTTTCTATCTGTTGATCGTGAAGTTTCCGTTATAAACAATCAATTAACAAGTGAACCTATAAATCTACAAGATGTTTCAAACTCTTGAACAATTTAAAACATAAACGTGTACTTTCTATTATTTTATTTGACTTCTTTTCAAAGTTTTATTTGCGTTCCCTATTCAAAATGCAATCGTCTCTTTGAATTTGAATATTATAGCAAAATATTATCGAGAAACCAGATTTTTCGACTAGGAAGGCTCCTCTACAAATGTTCGACTTTCTGCTAATTCTTACAGTTTCGTGCTAACTTTGGATAGAAACTCGATTTTGAAACAACATTTATCTTTCTCTAGCAGATAATTTCGTTGCAAGGTGAATAGGATTGGGACGGCCTGATGGCAAGTCATCTTTTAGTCATCATTTCTAGCATTCTGAGAACTAAAGTAGTTTCTATAAGGATTTTTATCCTTGCCCATCCCTAAAAAATGCCGACACTACTACTAGAAATCGATGCATTTCATTGTCGATAATTCGACTGTTATATATGATTTGTTTTATAATCGTAGACGATTAAAATTCAGCTACTAGTAAAAGAACATTGAACAAACTTGTAGAAAATCTATAAACGTTATTTGAACTATTGAAGAGTTATGCACGTTATTTTCCATTGCAATAGACCTTTTAGAATCGTTTATATTAGACTTCAATATATATTTAAATAATCTTAACTAAAATTAGTCCATTTAGAATGAATAATATTCTTCAATCTCAATCACATGATTGTAATGGATCTGTAGAAAATTTTTTCTTTCAAATTCTTCTTTTTTTCATTATCAAATATTTTTTATAGTTCATATTATACAAATTATAATTCTTTCAAAATGATACACTCAATTTGCAATCTTTATTAATTTTATTTCATCCTCAACAAAAAAAACTCCTAAAAATAAACTTCTGTTCTTATTATATAAGGGACATGATTGACATAATCTATTAATATTGTCTGTTTATACGACAGTTGTAAAATAACAATCAACAGTTCTATATAAGTTATTAACATCCTGACAGTATGAAACGCAATCTATGGACAAATAACATGATTGGTTTATATTTGTCATCAGCTGTGTTTTGTTTATTTCTTTTTTTTTTCGTTATTATGATATTTCCGTATGTTATAAATCAGTTCTAACATCTTTGATGAACTTTATATTTTCCCTATTGTATTCATATTTAGAATAATCCAAGTTTCTAATTCCCTTTTATTACAAAACACAATGATGATGTAATTAATTGACATACTTCTCTAAAAGTTCAACAATGATTGATATAGGACATACAAAGTTTTGTGTTCTTCTTTTCATATGTATCTATTGATTGATATTATACAAAAAAAAAAAAAATATATTGAAAATAAAATATTTTTTTATTAATAAATCATTTATAACTAACTAAGGACAAGTTTTATTTCTTATGAATGAACACCG